CCCTGTAGAATCCTTCAATTTTTTTTCAACTTCCATTAATCTGAGTTTTTCATTGGTTTAAATCTTCCTTGCAGCATTTGGCAATTGTCTGGCCAAATGTCCTGTTCAGCACTAGAACTGGCATCTTCCAAACAATCTTCAACGCTAGATTCTTTGTCTTTGAATATCTAAGAATAAGAAATGACGCTCTAGTCGTAGTCCATTGAAATATGTTTAAATATATATTGCACTGAAATGCGAAATAATAATATCCGATTGATCAACTTTGGCGAGTAGAGGATTTATAGGTCATAGGCCTATAATGATTGGCCAAAATGCACCCCGGCTTTCATTAACGATGTGTCATTTCTGTAGGTGCTGCCTGTCTATTTGCTACATCAATAGTTAGAACAGCAAGCTCATTTAACTTTGGATACAAAACCAAGGCTTCTAGCGACGTCTCTGTTCATATTGTAGCAGGCATCATCAAAATGTTTAGAGCAACAGATTGAACTTTTCAACGGCTGACAGTCTTTCTTGTGCCTATGTACAAAGCACACCAGTCTCACGAATCTTTCTGGGTAAAGAGTTTTTTTTGGATATTTGTGAAAGGATATAACTTCTGTAAATTATTTATTCTTACAGCTTTTGTTGTTTGGCCCACCAGCAACACAAAGAACAGCCTCCAACAATCTTTTTGCAGTCACACTATTCCTCACGCTTATCTGTTTTGAATACTTTTGATTGAGTACTCACATGCCAAGTCATCACCTTGACATCACAATTGAATGCAAAATATTTCTGTGAAATTACTCAAAATTCTGACTTTGGAAAACTGTAACTTTCGTTTAGGACATCATTCCCGACTAATAATTTCCAGGCATTTTTATCTGAAAACATTTTATAGACAAAAATTTGAATATTCAAATGTTACCCATTCAAATGGAAGCTGACAATTGGGTGTCTATGAAAGACCAATGGTGTCTCCATCTTCTTACCATACTTTCAGAAATACATGGTTTAAGCGTTATTGCACCGATAGGTTTGTCTAAGAATTCAAATGCACTCAATTAACTTGAATTCCAAAGGTTAAATGAGACCCCGTTTGCACTACAGAAAAAAGAACAGAACTCTTTGGTTCAGTGCCTGAAAAAGCGACAATAGCTCTTCCATTTACACTAGGCATCTTGGTTCAATTCTAGTTTTGGAATGGCTCTGTTCTTCTTTGGTAAATGCCAAACTCTTTGGTTCTGTTCCCAACACATGCTTGTTTTCTCTAGTGTTAACAGTCAGGAAAGAAACTTTTTGGTTACAATTGAAAACAAGGTTTAATCTAAAGTTGGGGAGAGGCTTTTTTATAGTGTCAGTCATCAATTCCGTGTCACTGCGCATGCTTCGCATGAAAGTTCCCTTGTTTTTTACTCAGGGGCAGCTGGGAACCGAATTCTTGTTAGAAGGGGGGAAGATATAGACTCATTGAGGTCCTACCCCTGAAAAAAGGTTTTTTATGTATTTAAGTCTTAAGTCTAAATTTGAGATTAAAAATGGGTTTCTTCAGAAAAGGTCAACCACATTCCATGGGAAGGACTCTATTAATCTGGTCTATACAATAATTGATTTTGAAACAGCTTACAAATTCTGAAATTACCCCAATTAGAAAATGATTTCTGCCTCATGTCTATTAAAGGTCATGTCATGTCTATTAAACTACTTATAGTACAGGCTATAATAATTATGTTATAAACTTTAAACCGTGGACCGGGCTACGCAGAGAATTAAGAGCGAAAACACCCTTTGCATATTATCAACAAAACCTTTTTATATATTTGTAGTGATTCCATTCATTCTAATTTTTCCTCAACCATCGCCATCCATTTTTACTTTGTTTATTTTACCTACAGTAATTTCTTCACATCACTACCTCATCACTACACGCTACGAGCATATCACTATGTCAACATTTCCTCTCTTTTGTTTAGGCCCTCATCAACCCTACACATCTACCTAAATCTCAATTCATAAACTATTCACACTTAGCCTAGCCCTTCCTATCCTTTGTTTTCCTTACATCATTCGTGTTAATTTTAGATATTCATTTCTGTATATAAGCATGTTAATTTTTATGTAAGTCAGTTCAGTTCACATCAGAGTTACACAGGCAACACACTGTCTCTCTCACTGGCTCCGTGTTCTCTGCACGTAAAATAAGACACGCTGGGTTGGAAATGACACGTTAGTCAAGGATGGTTTTATTAGTGAACGAATCGCACATAACAAGGCTCAATTCTCGTTACACTAAATATTTATAACTGCAATCACTTTACAACACCGCATGTTCCTACTCCCTACTCCAATCTAATCTAATCACCTCCGACGTGCTGAGCTGCAATCCGCTGCGCATGCCGCTACGCAGTACTTTACAACACACTCCCGGGGGTTGATCACCTATTCTGATCTAAATTACACAATATAGTTCAAATTTAATAACAGCTTGTTGCAATAAGAAACATCAACATAACATAACAAAACAAAGCAGTATAAATGCGATATAAAACTACAAAACTTTATAATGTCGGTTCAGTTCTCCTATTATTGCAACATTGCGCCTTGGCCTATCGAGAGTCTGCGTGTCCTTTTGTGGTAATTCGCTGATCTTGCACAAATGCATATCTTCGTTGTTAGAAGACTCTTCGATGTTTTTACCTACATGGAGTTCTAATGGAATCAGATGTTTAATTGAGCGAGTAAATACACGTTTACCTCCTGTTTCCGTAGGGATCTCAAGCCTTGCCGCTCTAACATACCCGTCTTTTCCTGGCAACAATTCTGTAATTTTTCCCATTTTCCAAAAGCACCTTTTTGTCTGCTCATTCTTCAATAGAACTACATCTCCTGCAGATATAGAAATACTGTTAGGAATCTGTTTCGATTTAGTTTCACCATTTTAAAAACTAACAAAAATTCTTGAGAAATCTGTTAAGTGTAGAAGATGTTTGCGAGGAAGATGGCAAATTTATTGCTTAGCTAGATGACAAACTTGCTGCTTAGGGGGCTGGTTAATGAAATATTTGGTTAAAAGTATATTTTATATTCATAAACAAGCAACATTCTTGGTTTGTATGATAGTACATTTTCAATGCTTTCAATTATATCTGTATGACCTCAATATCAACCTTTTATATCACATTTACGTCAATCAAAATTCAAAACTTTCTTGCTGTATTTCTATAGCATTTTCTGATTTCTGAAACCAAGCAAGTCTCACCATTTGCAACTTCAATTGATTCTCCCCAACAAATTTGTGCTTGGCAATTTCCAAGAATGGAAAATCAAATAGAGGGCTCCAAAATATTGAAATAATTAAGAAACTCTCAAGAAACAATGAGCATTAAATTTTTGAAAAAGGAGGATAAGAAACTGGAGTACCCAATATCAAACTAATGACCGAGCTTAAGAGTTCTGCATGTCATCTTTGATGAATTCTTTTCTGAAAAATTTTCAT